CCGTTGCCTGATTTTCCAAAGGTACAGCATAGACCCCCGATTTCTCAAGGGTGGAAAATTTGTCTCTATCATTACAAATAAGTTTGTGTAGGCTTGGAAGTGGGGTTAAAGGTAGTACAAGGTTGCGCTGCTTAAAGATTCTGCAGATGCGTAAAGATAGGGGTCCAAGGTAAGGCAACGCTATTTGTACCTATGAAGACTCTCTCTTGCTGCATAAAGTAGTAGTTGGAAACAGTGCTTTCTTTACCTTATTCAGCACATGCGTAAACTTTGCACGTGAAAAGCCAGCAGCGCGTACTGCCAAATTGATGATATCTAACTCGATGCTTATCAGCTCCTGCATAGACGACAGTAAATAAGCCCTTCTGACAAGGGAGGCAATGGCAGTATTAACATATCGAGAAGGCTGAAAGGCCTCTGCTGGTATAATGTGCGGAGCTATGCTAGATTTGTGATGGACCGAGAATTGTAGTCCATCCGAAAATTTACGTATACGCAAGTCTAAGAACGCTACTTCCGCATCGCTTTCTTTCTCCCAAGTAAAATTGATGGAAGGATATATACTTGCGAGTTGTTGCATAAAGATGAGGAACGACTCCTTTGTGTCTTCCCATGCTATGAGGATGTCGTCAACATAACGCAAATACAGCCTCGGGTAATGGATGGCAAGTGGGGAATTGAACGTTCTGTGCTCAATCTCTCTCATAACAAGTTCTGCTAGGATAGCAGATAAAGGGGAACCCATGGGGACCCCTTGTTTTTGTAAAAAGATCTTTTGGTTGAAACGGAAGTAATTGTGCTCGGTGACGAAGGTGAGGGCATCACGTATATCGAGCACCTGTTGAATGCTAAAGCCCTCTTTTAGAAGCAGCGAATTAACCAGCATTACAGCCTCAAAGGTGGGCACTGAAGGATATAAAGATATTATGTCTAGCTTGTAGAAGGTATAGGTGTCTGGCTGTAGAGCCCCAATACTCGAAGCGATGGTGGATTTAGCAGCTACAGAAGAGGGAGTAACATATGGGGATCCCGGAACTGTTGCGCGAATGAATTTGGCAAGCGCTTTTTCTAAATAGTAGGTGAGATGAGACTGTTTGTTTACCAGCGGACATAACGGCCAGTTTGTCTTATGTGTTTTTGGCTGAAAGAACAACCTTATTATTTGTATTATTGAATTATTTGTAATGATAGAGACAAATTTTCCACCCTTGAGAAATCAGGAGTCTATGCTGTACCTTTGGAAAATCAGGCAACGGGAGTAAACACAAAATATATCGGGGCCACCACTAGAATGCTTTCCAGCCGACTTGATGAGCACCAAGACAATGTTAGGAGGGGAAGACACACCACCGAGCTCGCAAGGAAGGTACTTGAGCAGGGTTACAACCCGCTATGGTCCCAAGCGGTTATGCTCAAGAGCCGCAAGGATCGAAAAACTGTTTTTATATGGGAATCTCTCCTCACTACCACCTTGGACACTTGCAACACCCCCACGCTCGAGCTGCCTAGTGTATGGGTCACGCTGTATAAGCGTTTAAGCGAGTATTAGCAGTCTCCAGTATGCATGTAGGGTGAGCATGGCTCCGCGCATGCGCCAGCTCGCACTTCACGGAGCTATCTGCTCGTTCAGTTTTCGAATTATGTTTAAATATTTACTTCGTGTTCTTAATGACTTTAACATAATTTTAGCTTATCTTATGCGTTATATTCTGCATTCGATTATTTTTTGTTTAAAATTTTTTGATAAATATCTATATTCGCCTGAGGACGACGACAATAAGTTCATTGAAAGTGCTAGCGATAAAAAAAAACGCATATAACGCTGAACTCAGTGTCTTTGTTTTTGTTATTATAGAGATGAGAGATAAGTGGCCAGAATACGGTCCCTGGTTTATGTTGAATCATGAACTTAATAACTGCATCAAAGCAAGATTCCAATTTAATAAATGGATACAAACTTTCAAAATCCATTACTGTTTTTATTCCATTAAATTCAAGCCTTCTAATTCTCTTACAATCTTACTTGGATCTTGTACAACATAAATACATTTCTGACCAACTAGATGACAGTATCTGTGTAGGTGTTTTTCAAGAATATACGTTGGTGCCTTGCATTTTTCTACTGCCAGTCTGATTTCTTTGGTACCTCGTGAGTTTTTGTGAAGACAATGATTCTTCGCATTGGGGTCTGCAGTTATGTGATCTTTTTTAGGAAAGTTAAGATAGAAGTGAGTGGTACTTTTTCTAGTTTTTTAAACTTTTATTAAGTTTGTGGTCTGAATGTAGTTAAAAGGAAGTAATATAGTACATATGTAAGTCTTATGGGATTACAATGTGCAGATTAAAAACAATAGCCATTCAAAAATGACATTTTTTTACACAACTACAAATTGTATGATGTGTTTTCAATACACAATACCATCATTTCAATGCCATATTTGACAAAGGAAACATGCTTTTGCTAATATCTTCAAGTCTGGTTACATAACGATATTGTATTTTCATTTTCACAGCAATTGACTGTTTTAAACATAATGTACAGTTCTTCCTCTTAATGCCGTAAGCAGAAATATTAATTAATGTCAGTATGCATCATAAATAGCAGTGTTTACTATTTCAATCATGTTGTCAAAGTAATGGGTAGTATGTGCTTAAAAACATCATTTATACAGCATCATCTATAGTTAGAAAAAAAATTTTTGAATCATTATTATTTTTTATTTCTACATCATAATGACAGAAGAATATTAGATACTTTAAAAATTTGACACTTTCGTGTTGCAAATTTGTTAAATTTAACAAATCGCTGTCAATAACGCCGCAACACGGAAGTGTCAAATTTTTAATTTATAAACGCTGGCGTGAAGTGAACTACAATTTTATTAGATACTTACTATATTTAATAGAAATGCAAAGCAATAAAATTCAATCAAATTACTTTGTTTGGGATGGCTTATGAAAATTTTATCAAGTAACTAAACAAAAAGTTATAATGTTCAATATAACTAATATGTTGAACCATTGAATTCTACAACCATTTTCTAACTGAGACTATCAAAATAATGCAATGGAGGCACTATCATCAAAGAGTCACATTTATTTTTAAAAAGTTCCTTATTTAAATTTGTTTATGATGTGCATTTCAGCTGGATACTGGATTGGAGACCTCTTCAGTTGTTAGATATGCATTTATCTTAATATGCATTAAATGAGATATATGAAACATTCTGTGATGTGGAAACAAAGCTTAAAAATGCTATATTCTATTTTTTGCATTATTAATTTGCAGTTTGTGACTGGTAACAAGACTTCCTTGCTAGAGTATAAAATTTCTTGTTGCCATTGCATTCAATCTGCCTCGCCACAGATCCTCCTCCATACTCCACCAAGGCAAAAGGGATTATCTTTTTGCCAATCTGCTACCTTCACCTGGGACTAGGTATCAACCTACTTTAATATTGTCTGCCTGAGATTTTTGAGGCAAAAGCTCACAAAGTACAACAGGCTATTAAGACTTTTGATTAACAAGTGAATTCATCCTACATATTTTTAAGAGAAAGCTCTAGCTAGAATCCCTCTTTTTCATTCCACTCCAATTCCCTCTATATAATTGGTTTGTCATTAGAGATTGAAGACCACATGCAAAAGGACCTACTGTTGTATAAGCTACAGCTTATACAACAGAAAACAAAGCTGACAATGACATTAGGCTAATAATTATATCATAAAAGATATTTTTGAGCCAGTCTGAAAAATTACTTTTGTGACATTAGCATTTAATGAACCAAGCATTAGATATGTGGCTTATATCAGGCTCTGTGTGATGTATGTATATCATACTTATGCGAATAATCCACACCCAAGTAATTGTGAACTTTTTTATGATACTAGTTTTAAAAAAGAAATTTGACCAATTTAATTTATTACATTTAACAAACTTTACTGATTGGTGGAATGCAATATCAACCTCTTGCAGTTTTATAGTATTTGATGTGGCAGCACTCAGTTTACAAGTTCTTGTGTACTAAAAGATAAAAATACAGAAATAATTTTTCCTCCTTAGTATCTGATATAAAATAAATTATCTGCAATTTGTAGCAATCCATCCATATTGAATAACTCATTAATTGAATAAAAGTAAGACTACATTGTTTAATTCTAATTGGAAGTGAAAAACTACTAATAGAATGATAGCTTAAATTAAGAGATAACACAGGTATAAACTATTTACTGTTAATATGTTATTTATATATTTAATTTACTCTATCTTTATTTTCACAAATTTAAGGTGTACAAAAATGTTTAATAATAATGCTTATAACTATTGTGATTTTTGACTGATAACAATATCTGTGATTACAATAAGCAGTGTTTTACTAATTAATTTAATGTATTTTAAATGATTATATTACAGTAGAGCCTCGAAAACTCGGCACTCCGGATAACTCGGCCATACCCTGGCAGAGCAAAAAAATCCTTAGTTAATTAATTTTCATTATTCAGTAGACAATTTTATGCCTCATAAAGTATTTTTCTGAGGTCTGTCTTATCAGGTAAATTACTGTACACAGTGTATTCATTAATTTTCATTTTCATGTAGTAAAGGCTCTATGCCTTCATAAAGGACGTACTTTTCCTTTGTTTAAGGGTATTTGGGCAGTTTATTCTCTGTTGTATTCTCAAGCAAACAATACATACAAGTACAGTACAGTATTTTCTGAGGAAACACGTATACTTATCCTTTTTTAACCCCATTCCCGATAACCCGGCATTTTCACAAACTCGGCCACCCTTCGGTCCACATTAGGCTGAGTTTTCGAGGCTTTACTGTATTAATAAATTTTAAAAATCAGAGAATTGTAATTTAAGAAATCTGGTATTATTTGACTTTATTCAGAAAGGTTATATTAGCTCAAAGTCTGTTGTATCTTAAAATATGTTAGTACGATGGTATATTTTGGTTTAAAATTGGAAATTGACATTGCCATTTATTTTTATAGCTAATCCAGTTTCTACTGACTATAGTACAACCAACTTCCAACAGGAGAAAAATTGTCAAAAGAAACTTGCCATTGATGATTCAGGAAGGAAAAGTAGTTGATGATCATCAATTAGTATCTCAGAAAAAGCAAAAGAGAGATGATAACTTACCAGTAAGTACTAATAAAATATCTTCAGTTCAATTTTTTATTAATGTAGGAGCTAATCCCTTTTGTCTGGAAACATAAAAGAGGAAAAACAAGTTGTGAGAGCTCTTGCTTGACTTTCCAACACTTGTAATTTGCGGAGTTAAAGTTGTATGCAGTACCATCTGTTAGGAGATTTTATTAAAAATATTCTCTGGATTATTAATTATTATAAAAAGGTAGATGCTTATTTTTTGTGGTAGGATTGAGTTTCTAAAAAAATGTAAATGGCAGTAATGAGTAAAACCTTCATTAAGTTTCACCTTACATTAGATATGACACATGATCCTCCCTCTATTGCCCCACCTCTGAACTTTTAATTATCAAATTTAAGTAATAGCATAAAAGCTGCATGTATAGAAATAACCCTACCAAGCTTCAAAATTTACATTATATCTCAGGACCATATGAACCAAAGTTTCTGTAGTTCCTGAGATAAAATATAAAATAGATGCCTATTGCGTCCACACAACACAGACAAACAGACATGGAATTTTGTAAGAGTTGTTTTACACTTTTGGACTTCTGGAGAGTCAAAATTTTATCAATTACCATAGTTTCTCTATGTTGTATTCTTTAACTGCTGGGAAAATAATATAATATAAATAACCAGTTATTTACTCAAGTTTATATTGAATTTTAAGAAAATATGTTACTTTTACTAACACAAATGTATTTAAAATTAACATTTTTGAATACCTTATTCAATCATCGTGTTTTACGCATTCTTTAGTGCATCATTTGGGAGTGGTCTGCTTAATATCACCATGTGATGCATTGCAAATTTATAATCAGTAGTTTCTAAGAATAAAGTAAGTCAGAATTTTACATTCTAAAATATAGAACTTAGAATCAATTGTGGTATATTTAAAACTTAAATTGAGTTGTTTGTGGGAGTGTGTGAAGAATATTGCCTATCATGATGATCTAAAAGTCTTGATGAACTTGATGGTGCACAAATCTCTGAAGCATTCAGAATAATTAATTGTAAATGTTAGAAACCATGTTAAAAGAATTTGGCACCCAATATGAATTCTCTTGGGTACACAAAGGAGGTCATGTCGGGGTCCTAGACAAAGTTCAATGCCATTAGAACAGATACCAAAGCAATTTTGTTTGTTTGTTAAGATATGGCAATGCAACACTTGGGCAATCTGCCTATGGGATGTCTTCCGGTAGGTCTTTTTAAAGGAAACTGGCCCCTATTTAGGCATTATAGATGTGGAGAAAACCTGGAAAACTCCACGTGGCCAGCCTGTCCAAGTGAGGCACGAACCCATGACCAAACTCCCAGTGTTCAGGGAACGAAGATCACTTGGCCACTGGTGGACCCCAAAGCATTTTTAAATCATCTCATTCCAAACAGATTACACTATTCATACTATATAATATAAAGCCATAAAAATTGATATCTATATAAAACTGACAAACCATCTTGTATATATATATATACACTGTATTGTATGAAGAACCAGCAACATAGTATACAGCTAAGTTACATTTGAAAATCAGTTATTCAGGAAAGATAGAGAATGAGTGGAACATCAGTCAGCAGGAATTCATAGGTTCTGTCAAGGATGGACTTCTTTAATTTTAACTTTTAAAGATCTACAATGTGATAGTAGTGAATAAAGAGGGGACTACATATTAGTTATTTTTGCATTTTTTTGCTATCAAATCTGAAAATACAATACATGTATTGTGGAACAGAGCAACCATGATAAAAATACACATTATCTGGTCCTAGTCAAGTACATAGAACTGTTTGAAATTTTTAAGCTTAGTCAAGAAAGAAACTATTAATTAGACAGATGTAAACAGTAACATTCAATGCATAAAGAATGCTGTATTGACATTACATATTAAAGTGTTAAAGTTTAGACTCAAAATATATATAACTTAATTATGATTTTATTTTTATATTTATTTATCATTTACAATATCTAACTAAAAAAGCTGTATTTGTTAACTTTTTGCTATTTTTAAATATTTCATATGATTGATTCTAAGTTCTACATTTTAGAATGTAGAATTCTGACTTATTTTATTATTAGAAACTACAAGGTGCATTCAAGTTATAACACCTCTGATTTTTTTCTCACAAATCACACGAAAACTGTGGAACTTGTGTCACTTCTTGACGTAATCTACTTGCAGCCGTACACATTTTTCACAACGTCAACACCATGATTCCATGGCCACTGCAAACACTTCGTTAGGAGTCTGGTTTGAGCACTGGAAAATCGCTGATACAATAGTGGCATGGCTAGTGGATATGCAACCACGGAGAGTGTCTTTCATCGTTGGACCAGCCAAAAGTCGCTAGGAATCAGGTCAAGTGAGTAGGGAGCATGAGAAATCACTTCAAAGTTGTTGTCACAAAGAAACTGCAGCATCGTGTTCACCTAATGTGCTGGTGCATTGTCTTGGTGAAAGAGTGGTGGAGGAGGAGACTTTTCACATTTTCAGGTCTTCATGCAGGATTGTATGCACAGATCCCACTGAAATGCCAACTTTGGAGGTGATGTGTTCCACACTCATTCAGCAATCCTCCAAAACAACTTTCTCCACTTGATCATGTCGTCAGACTGGCTGGTGCGAGGCCAAGATTGTCTTGATTTGTTGCCATATGACGTTCTACCTTCTTTGAACTGTCGCACCCACGAACACACATTAGACACATCCATGACACCATCATCACATGTCTCACTCAACTGGCGATGAATTTCAATTGGTGTCACACCACTCAAATTTTCGGGAACAACGTACAACAGCTTAATGGCATTAGAGAGAGTTCTAGGATGTCAAAACTTACCTTTTCGTGGAACACGTGACAAAATATTTACTAATAACAATGGAAACTTTTTGAAAATAGTAGAATACCTGGCTTTATTTGATCCTATTACTCAAGAACACCTGAGAAAAGTTTATAATGAGATTCATGTTCATTATCTCAGAAAAAATATCCAAAACGAATTAATAAGTCTGTTCGCTAATGCTATCCGGAAAAAAATACTAGATTCTATTCACTCTGCTAATTATTATTCAATAATTCTAGATTGCACAACTGACATAAGCCATGTTGAACAAATGAGCACCATCATTCGATTTGTAAAGATAACTTATGATGATAAAGAATGTAATTGTAAAAGTGAAATCAAAGAACAGTTTTTAGGCTTTATTCCTCTTATTGACACAACTGGCACTGGTTTAACTGAAAAATTTTGTATCAGTTAGATGAGATGTCTCTTTCATTAGAAAATTTGTGGACAGGGATATGATAATGGAAGTAACATGAAAGGTAAGTACAGTGGTGTTCAAAAAAGGATTTTAGAAAAAAAATCCATGTGCTTTCTTTGTACCATGCAGTTCACACACACTAAATCTTGTGGTGAATGCTGCTAAATGTTGTCTGGCAGCTATATCCTTCTTCATCTTGATCCAAACTATTTGTGTGTATTTTTCTGCTTCGACCTACTGTTGGGAAGTCCTATTGTGTCATGTGCCTAATTTGACACTAAAACCACTGAGCGATATGAGGTGGGAAAGTAGGATTGATGCATTGCATCCATTGCATTACCAACTAGCTGATATGCATGATGTACTCATGGATATTTATGAAGATCAAACATTGACTTGTTCATCAGGAAATCAAATGCAAATTGAAGCTCAGTCTATTGTTAAAAAATTGCAAATTTCAAGTTTATTGCTTCTCTTGTTGTATGGTACAACATTTTGTTCAAAATTAATTTGACTAGCAAACTACTTCAATCAAAGGAATTTTATCTTAACGCTGCTACAAATGCTCTACTAAAAACAAAAGCCTTTCTTAAAGATTATAGAAGTGATTTGGGTTTTGAGAAAATGCTGGTGGAAGCAAGAGAAATTTCAGGAGCCAACATTTCCGCATTGTTCCCATTAGAAATGGAGCCAGTCTGCCTAAGAAAAACGAAAAGGCAGTTTAGTGTTGGTTTTTTTTTCTTTTTGTGGTTTTAGGCCCCTTACCGCTCAGAGAGCACAAAGAGGCCAATGGCAGTTTAGTTATGAAGTGGAAGATGTGCTTCATAATGATGAGCAAAAACAGTTCAAATATAATTTTTATTTTGCAGTGTTAGATACCACAGTAAATCCAGTTGACAAGAGACTTAATCAGATAAAAAAAATAGAAATCATGTCATGTTTTTGGCTGTCTCTATAACATTCATGTCATATAAAATAAAACTTTCAAAGCTGTTCTCGAACAATGTGTAAAATTAGAAGACTCTCTAACTCACAAAGACTCTAAAGATATTGATGCAACTGATTTATGCAACGAATTACAAGCTGTTGCTAGAAGAGTACCTAATAACCCTATGCCACAAGAAGTTTTAAATTATATTTGTGAAAAAGGACTTACAGATATCATACTCAATTTAGTAACTGCATTAAGGGTATTGCTAACACTTCCTGTGTCTGTAGCCAGTTGTGAGTGCAGTTTTTCCGAACTAAAACTTATTAAAACTTACCTGTGTTATACAATGACTCAAGAAAGACTTGTAGGGTTGTCAACTTTGTCAATAGAACGGGAAATAGCTGAAACAATTGATTTAAAGGAGATCGTTTCCACTTTTGCAAAAACCAACGCAAGGATAATGAAATTTATGTAATTCTAATATACCTATATGCTTCATATAAATAAAGCTTATAATAACATACTCGTATGTTTCATTATCCATTGGTTTATTGTACATGATTGTAAACGAGTAATTGAAACTTTTTAAGAGAGAAATTGTAAAAATGATGGAAAAGTAATATTGTTTTATAAAAAAAGTGTAATGATGTGTCATTAGTGACAGCAGATTTTTTTTTAATGATAAAATATATTTAAATAGGTACTATGCTGTTTTATTATGTATTTGAATAAAAATTAGATACTTTATTTTATATTGGTGTTTTATATTGTTGCAAATTTTTTTAAAATGGGGGCAATGTCAAAGTCATTTGCCTAGGGCACTGAGTTTTCTCGGGCTGGCATTGCATACAGTGCTACCATCTCTGTCATACATTCACGAGAGCATGTGTATTTTAAAACAAACCGCATGTTTCTATCTGTTTCCAGTTCTGAGAAAAAAAATCAAAGGTGTTATAACTTGAATGCACCTCATATATCCTTCTAATGTATCATATGCTGCAAGAAAAGCAGACCACCTCAGATGTGAAAAGGATTTGTATAAGCACAAAAGAAAATAGCATGTATATTCCTAGGCTAAAAATAGGTCTGGTTGCATCTTTTTAATTGTTGCAGTTATTTGACAGCCTATGTGCACATTCGTATTAAAAGCTGTTTCATTTTTATATAAAATATGTTGTATAAATACACAATATTAAAGACTAATACAAATAAATTATTCTTGTTGTTGTCACAGGAACATGATCCACACTGTTAGACTTGACCTTTCTTTTATGCTACTTTCCCTGCCTATATTTATGTAAATCAGTTCCTGTGATGACAAAGGAGGAGGACAAGAATAATTTATTCATATTAGTCTTTAATATTTTGTATTTTTACAATTTATTTTATATAAATATATTTTGTCCTGGATGTTTTTGAATTTTTCTTTACAATGTTTCATATTTGTGACCAGAAAATTGCATGTGCATTCCTAGATTTAAGCATGACAATGACATTAAAATATTTGAAAATGTTCATTTTAAATAAATTTGTGTTGGTAAAAAAGGCATGTAGATATTAAGATATGTTAAATTGATGGAATTAATTTCTCAATTCTAAGATACATTTTAGATTAACAAAAATGGATAAGAGAGGCAATGATGTCTTAATATTCACAGTCCAAAATAACAATTGGTTGTCATTGCAAGCAGACAACATGATGCAGTATATATCAGTAGTAGATGCTTTTATATACTCTATTTGGCGTTTACATTAATTCAAGTGAACATTGCCATTAATTAACAAGCATTTAAGTTAAACTTTAGCAACAAATTAATATTTAAAATATGCACTTTAAGAGACATTACTTGTTTAATGGCATTACTAACTTTTATTGTTCTATTGTAACTTTCTATAATTTTTTTTAACTTGCTACTTAATAGAATTGAATTCTTAAAAAGTTTTTACTCCAAAAATACTTATATCATGAATTTGAAATCTAATTTCATCTTAGAAGCAATATGGTTATTTTCATTATTGAAAATTAATTCTGGGCTAATATGTACTGTACAAGGACATATGGTGTTTATATATGGATTAAATTTATTTAAGACAATATTGAATAACAATTTTTTAAATTCTTATTAGAAAATTCACATTTGACTATTATGAATGCTCTACAGCAGGGCTTCTTTAACTTTTTATATTCACGACCCCATTTATGATTGTGGATTTTTTCGCAACCCAAAAAAATCTAAAATAATGATATATACAAATTTTCAAAAACAATAATGGTGTACTACCACAGTTCACTCTTGTACTCGGTGTACTCAGAGACAACTGAATACACTGAAAAGTGACAACACTACACTAGTTCACACTACAGCATTGCTGAATCATTGTCTCGCTGCATCAGAAGTGACACAAAGCGCAACTCATGAAACCTACGACACATAGCATGCCATTTTCAAACTCTGTCAAATTATTTTCAATATTTTGCATTAAAATCTCATGACCCCAAGATTTTGCTAAGAGACCCCAAATGGGGTCACAACCCATAGTTTAAGAAGCCCTGCTCTACAGTTTAAAGTGTTTGGCCAGAATTTGAATTAATTCTGCAAAACTTACAACAATTTGGGTACAATAAAAAAAATTTCAGTTTTTTTATCTTACATGGAGTTTATTCACTTTAATTCATAATATTAATAAAATAACTACATGATTATTATTATTTTGTCAACTAGAATTACTTTGTTCACAGCTTAAAGCTACTATCCAACAGAATAAGTTTTGCATTTCATTTAATTGGAAAACTAAATTTGGTAATATGGTCACTCCTCACTTAATGGCCTAACCGTTTACACTCAAATTTACAACCAGCTCTCCAGTGTGGGGAATCCCCCTTCTCAGTCTGAGTCTTAGTCTCATTCTTGCAGTCAGTCAGTATTCAATACATGAAGCACTTGCAATCTTCAAGGCTACATATTTTATAAGTTATTCTATTATGCACCCCATAGTACAAGATGCCAGTGAAAAGTAAGAGCATGATTTCTCCTAGAGGAAGTGCCAAGGGTCAAAGGAAGACTATCAACCTTGAGGTGAAAATGATTATTATAAACAACTATGAAGCTGGTAAAAACAAAAAAAAAATCTTAAAATGATGTGCCAGCTCCAAGTCATATGCATTTGACTGTTTTGACAATCTTGAAGGATGAAGATAGTTTGAAAGAGGTAGTGAAAGCATCAACAGGTTTTAAAGCCATAATAAGTAGGCAGCAAACGCCTCATTCATGAAATGGAGAAATTACTGGCAACTGTTTTAACAAAATGAATGCCAATGAATCTCTTAATAATTCAAGCCAAGGCATGCATTATTTTTGAGAATTTGTAGGCTTTCTTTATCCATAATAAATAAAAAGATTAATCTCTTCATTTATTGACCAATTTGCTGAATGACCAGTTGTACTTGCTTGTTAAGTGAGGCATGTCTAGATTGATTTGTTTAGGACATGCGTGCAATTTCACGCTTGCTTTTAACACTGGCTGAGATAAAAAGGAATTAAATATGATAGAAAAACAAAATATGATTATGTTTAAATTCTTATAATTTTTAAAATTTATAGATTGTTTATATTTGGTAAAAATGCTAACAGAAATATTTAATATAAAATATGTACATTATCTCATTTAAGTTGATAAATTTTAATAAAATTAACAGTGATTGTTGAATTAAATAACATATTACAGTACAAAATTTTGTTACATTTTCATAGTTTTAATTTTTATTTTTAACTTAAAAGGAAAAACAGAGTCTTACTATTCGAGATGTCACTGATCACTTAGACAATGAAAATCTATTTTCTTCTCCGACAAATGAAGCTTCTTGTTCTTCATCATCACAGACCAAAAATGCTGAAAGTTCTCCTGTTGAATTTGTAGATGGTGCAATGTCTTCAATTTTTGATACTAATGTGAATCCTACAGCAACATTAGAAAAGTTAAATATATTGGAACCACTACAGTCACCGTATGTAAATTTATATATCTATATACTACTAACTATAATATATTAGGTTTTATTATAAGTTCTAAATTTTGAAATTATTATTTACACACAAAAATCTTACTTAACATTATTTATTAATGTAAAGATGGAAATACTAGAACAACTTTTATTGATCAAAAAGTAAATATGATCCATGATTCTATTCATATTACTCAAAAGCAATTAAATTCATTATATACAATTGATAATTCCTTACACTCAAATAATCAATGCAATAAGAATGTCTTCGAGATTCATAAAATTTGTACATTTATAGATTCATTAAGATATTACGGTAGAGTGTTGTTTATCCGAAAGCCAGTTATCCGAAATGTCGTTTAATCGAAAGCATTCCAGTTGGCAAATTTAAATTTTTGCTAGTGCTGTGGCGCTGCAATCTTTGGCTATATCTTTTTTTTTTGTTGGTGTGTGTGTTTTAGCTGGCAGCACTGGCACTTTCATGTAGTGTTTTTCTGAGGACTGTATGTCGTGCTGAATCGAACGTTTTTGATACTAGATTAACTTCTAAAGTATAATTTTTTTGTTTTTATATTTTTATTTTGTTTGTAAAAAATAAAGAAATAATTTTTAACGATACAATAGCCACAATTATTATTTTAAAAAGTTTACGTTAGGCTTAACATCGACATTTTTCCCGAAAATTCAATGTGAAGAGACACACAACGGAGAAAAATTTCAACATGGGATAGGTTAATATATTTTTTCGTACATAATCGGTTATCCGAAAAATAAGTTATCTGAACAACCCCAGTCCCCAATTGATTCGGATAAACGACTCTCTACTGTAATATCTTTCTGATAATAAAATGAAATTATTTAACTGAATTTGTGTTTTAGTTTTCCTATTATTAATTTCTGGACAATCTTTAATTTAAAAATTAAATATTTTTGGTATTCATCATTATTAAATTTAATTTCTTATTAGTATCATTCCTATAAAAATAATCTTCATATATACTCATTGCCATAAAAATTAGCACACCAAGGAGTTGTATCACTGTAAAACTTGGCATGCAGATAAGACTTAAGTAAATATGGAAATGATTAGAGTTTTAGCATGATGGTCTCTTTGTGTAATGCTAGCAGAGGATGTTAAATTGCATCCAGCTTGGCCTATAAAAAATTCACACAGAGGCATCCTGTCTGTGGTTTATTTGCTTCAGAGGGACACTGCGTCACTAGAGATGCCTTTACATCACAATCGAAGACCATATGAACAATTAACTGAGTTTGAGAGGGGAAGGATCATTGGGTTGAGAGAAGACAGATGGTCATCTCACCAAATAGCATACCACCTAGGCCATTCTGACAAAACTGTGAGGTGGTGTTGGGACCAGTGAATGAGAGAAGGCTCTACACATTTCACCCAGGTTCAGGACATCCTTGGCAGACATGAGGACTGCCAGGTCTTCCAACAAACACATACACAGTCAACTGTATCATTGTCTGCCATTTGGACACAGGTGGCACCATCATTATGTGTTCCCATGTCTGTCCATACCATTTCCAGATGCCTGGGTAAGGAACATTTGGTATTGTGGTGGCCATTATGTGTGCTGCCATTGACACCACTCATCGTTGCCTCTGTTTGGGATGTTGTCATTTCTGACAGGATTGGACCACAATGGAATGAACTGGATTGTCTACAGTGATGAATCCAGATTCAGTTTGGGTGCTGATGATGGTCATGTTTGTGTCTGGGGTCCCAAGGTGAATGCCTCAATCCTGCCTATGCTTTGGAGTGGCACACTCTGCCCCACAGCCAGTGTGATGTTCTGGGGTGCCATCACATATGACAGCCAGTCACTACTAGATATGTAGTACTGATCCAAGGGACAATGACAGCCCAGCGGTATGTTAACATGTTAACTGCTATACGACGCACATGCCGTCGTAATGGAAATTCCCGTACAGTGCCATACAACAGCCCGTAGTCGTAAACAATGTAGTTTTACTCAAGGTTAAATTTTCTTGGCCTCGTACGATGTTTTCTGCATGCTTAGTGCTGGCCTCTCGTGGATATCTATTCAGTTGGCTTTGAACATTGGCGGTTGTATGGTGGATAGGTCCTAGCTATGACTGCTGACGCATCGTGTGGCATCATGAAGCTGTTCAAGGTCGGCAGTCGTAGTTTTTTTAAATAAAAATCTATTTTATATCTGATAGTGGTTTATTTTAATAGTAAATAGTTTAAAATATCAAAAACTAGTTTAATTATTCTCTTTTATTGCATATAAAGTAAATAATATTACAAAAAAATCAAAGTATATAAGTGCATTTTAATATATATTTACTGAAAAAACATCATTTGCAGTTGAAACAAAGTGTGAAATACTTAACACACAGATGTAAATACTTTTAAGTAGGGAAAGATGTCTAATTACAGTGGGGTTGTAAAATTTATTGCCTGGGAGAAAGCAGACTCATGTTCGAGGTCATACGACTCCCCAGTCTTTGTATATACTTTTCTTATCGTCACTCTCTTGACTGTTGTACATCAACCCTTTTATTTACATTATAATCAATTATTAGATATCATATTTTCATTTTTTGGCCCCCCCTGACGCAAAATATCATATTACAACAGGCAGTTAACGTGTTAATGACATCCTACAACCACACATTTTGCCTCCCATGGCAGGGCTCCAAAGAGCCATTTTTGAACATGACAATGCTCGACCAGACACAGCAAGGATGTCACAGGCCTGCCTCTGCCACATTGTCACATTTCCCCAGCCTGCCCTGTTCTCTGATCTGTCATCAGTTGAACATGTCTGGGATGCCAAGTTGGACAGCCTAGGAGTTTGGCCAAACTAGAGAATCATTTGCAACAACTGTGGATTGAGATGACACAGGACATGATATGGCACCTGTATGCCTCCATGCTCACCCATGTCACATCGTGTATTCACACTAGAGGTGGTCCAGCATGGTACTAGAACCTCCTTTCATTTGTAGTTTTTCTTGCAATAAATGATCCTTTTGCTTTCATTTTGTAATCACTTATATCACCATTACACTTACACATGTACGATTCTGTTTGATTCTGATAACTTCTTGGTGCACTAATTTTTATGGCTATGATTGTATAAATAAATTTCAATGTTGTCAGTCTCTTACCTTTATTTGTACATATGATTGTAATTAAAGAGTAAGTGTTTCAAGTTCTACAGAAAGAACTATTGGTTAACTTGCAATCATGTTTAGCATATGTATTGTTCCAAGTATCTGGTTTTGAGTTTTGGGGTAAAAATTGTACTGACAGCTGTATAGTCAAGTGATTAAGGTATTGATTAACCTTAATGGTCTGGGGAACTTGGAAATGAATGTGGATGGGTTGAAAGCGGGAATTTCTTGGAGGTGGTTTGTCTCAGATATGTTGGCCCATCATGGACCTGGCCAAATCCACATTAGTCTTGATTAGAACGTCCTCTTAGTGCCCAAAATGCAGAGTAAAAAATCTTATTTAAAATTTAGCTGCTGTGGTAAATTATATGCCCCTGTGCATACTAAGTATATTTTCTAACAAATTTTGGGTGTAAAAGAAGTGGCAAAACATTCTTCATAATTCTTTGATGAGTGGACAGTCTTGGTGCTGACTTTGCCCAATCTTTAGTTATTTGTTAAACTCTTATTGATGAAATGGCAATGTTAGCTTGTCACTTAAGGAATTTTGGTATTTAAAAGGTCTATGAATAGATTCCCTAACTATTGGAAATTTTAGTAAAATTATTTTTGTATTTTGAAGAGATTAGAACTTTTGCTGTGAAACCAGAATGAGGTTCAAACCAATTGGATATTTAAAAAGAAGTGATATTACTACAGTAGTAGAAACAGAACAGAGAATTTTCCTGGGTGGAGTAATGTGTGTATGATAATATACTAATTATTTATGCTCTATATAATAGTGTGGAAAACACTGCAAAAAGTGTTGCCTTTTTTATTTATACAAAATTCACAATTGACAATTTAGTTTTTTGGTGATAATGATAAGTAGAAAATGTTTGCTATTACATTTATTGCTTGGACGATGATAGATGTGACAAATTTTGTACAGCCAACAAAGCTCATTTTTATTTGCTGGTGATGTGAACACTCACAACTGTTGTATTCGGCCTGATGAAAATCTATAAATTTGTCAGCAAAATTACAGCACTCACCAAAAGTAACAATGCAGTGTGATTTTACAGAATTCCTTATAATCGGTCCTCACTTTTTGAAGAAAATTATTCATCTGACACATTGTATTGTATTGTATTGAAGTGAATTGAGTATTTTTCAAAAGCTCTTTCATTTTTATTTATGCAATCAGTTTTTCAGATTATCCAAGTAACTCTAGCAATTTCTTGTATAAACTTGTTTCTTTTCATATAAATTCTGTAAAAGATATAAGGTGTAAGTATTTAATGAATATTTTTTTGCAAAGAAAAGTTGTTTCTTTTTACTTCTAATCAGTGGTGATATTCAGCGGGTTCGCACAGGTTCGGCCGAACCCGTTGTTAACATTTTCAAAGTTTTCCGAACCCGTTGTTAAACGCACATAACATTTCTCAGTGGTTTTGTTTCTTTTAAAAAATATATTAAAATATACATATTATACTCTGTAACACTACTAAACTAGAGCCTTATACCCCGTTTGCCATGGTGCAACCTCCATCGACCGTTTCAATCTCGACTGAAACGAGATTTAAATGCGATCGACTCAACAGAGTTCTTGAAACTAGATCCAGTCATACGAGAGATCCCACAATCCCACGCGTGTGAGAAAATACAAGATGGCTGCGGAACACGTGTCGGGCTATCGACAGCGAAATAAAAAATATATTGTATTTCGAGAAACGATGACATCTGTCTATTATTATAATAATACCTAATGATAAAATAAATGATTTAGAAAAGTTTTTTCTTGAGAAAAAATCATAGGAAAAGCAGTTAACTCCTTGGGACTCTAGCAATTTTTGATATTAATGTAAGTAAACATAAAAATACATACTTAAAACTGAAAAAACGAAAGAAATGCGTTAATTTTGAAGAAAAAACTTCAGATTTTATTTTCCTTTGACTCCTCCTTCTGTGAAATCTGACGCTGATGAGTCATTGTTTAATTAAACAGCTGGATGACCTTGAATAAAGCTGGAGTTGGATTTCCCAGGGCATTCTCATAGAAGTCTCGGGAGGCGATAGGTTTATAGTAGGGTAAACACTAGCTGGCCGTATATTTTTAAATATTTTTAAAAAATTAAAATTTGTATTGCGATTTCCGACCCCCTACTTAAACTTATATATAATAAAATGTATTAATTAAAAAAAATTAAAAACTATCGGAGGTCGTTTTTGACATCAGAAACTAGCTTTAAATAACTTTACCGAAGTAAAATCCGTGCGCTACAACTTTAGAACGATGAATGAAATTTGATATCAAACTCCCATTAAAAAACAATTAAAAAGCAATTAGTGTAAGCGTGAATCGTGCATCATTAAAGGTAAATTAAAATCGCGATAAAATTTTTTCGCGCGGGAAAAAATTTGGAGACAAAAAACATTCCAAAAATCCAAAAAAACAAAAAATTTTTAGGGGGTCCAAACGCCCGAGTTTTATGTAACGCTATGTAACTTGCCCGAGATATCTCGGGCTTGGGGTTAGGTTAAGGAAAAAGTTTCTGTTAGCGAACCCTTTGTTAAATATTTCGAATATCACCACTGGCAATATGTGATAAGTGATGATATCAAATGTGGATAACACTGAAATGACCTACACGTGTAAATAATGGAAAAAGAAGAGAGAAGGACCGCAAAGTGAAAATGTGAAAATAAATATGAAATTAAGTTGATAACATAATTGAACAAGTTGAGGCAGCTTATTGGCATGAAATTCGCAGCCGTCAATGCCAAACAATTGTTGTCATAGACTTCAGAAAGCTAAATGCTTGTAATGAAAGTCAGTTAGCGTGCACGGGCGAAAGCCTGGGGCCATTCAAGCTACCACGCTGTCTTGAATATGTGAAATCATAATTGTGACTTATACCAACATCCTATCTGTCTTTTTTCTTCGTTATCACCAGCTATGAGTCACGTAATTGTAAAATGGGAAATATATGACGGAAAAGTGACGAATCGAAAGTATCATGAGTGTACATTATGATGTATGCATAGGCATACATGGACTAGAGTGATAGAGGAAAGAGAAAGGGAAGAGCAAGACGAGCACTTAAAAAGAAGGATAGGCAGGGTCAGACCCTCACTGTCAGATGTGCGACGATTCTCAAACGAATAGGTGTGTGTGTGTGCTGATCTTTGTAATTATAAATTGTGAATACATGTAACTAATATTATTTTCTTTTTTATTTTGTGCATGTTATAAGTTATAAATAAATATAAACAAAGAACACTAACCCGATAACATTAAATCTAAATACCAAAATGATTAATTTGCTGTATTTTTGTTATTTCTTACTCCTGTTTTTTAGGTATTCGGTATTCGGCCGAATAGTGATTAAATATTCAGTATTCAGTCGAATACTGAACAGTAACCGAATATTCGCTACATCACTAATATTTATCTTAATTATGGAAATATAATAGCATGTTTTTTAATTTTTGAAACCTAACCCTCCTTTTCGTACTAGTTCTTTGTTTTGCATAACACGACAATTTTTTGGAACATAACTCCCGTGTTATACTGGGTTACTTGTATTTGGTTAATTAATATATAGTTTTTAATAATGCTTCAGTCAGGTTATNCTGCATTCGAAATCTATTACTGCACTAGTTAATAGTGCAGTAATGGATTTAGTTGCCTGTAAGAGTGCAAATGTAACAAAACAATACCTCCACTGAATATTTCATTTTTTTGCGATATGATAATAGGTACAGAAACGTAGTTAATGTTGACACGTCATAAGGCTAAAACAAGCATTTTGTTATTGTTATTATTATTTAATTACATATTAAAAGAAACAATAATTAGTTAATAAATTTTCTAACTGCGAGTTTAAGTATCACTAGATATGAGAGAGTAGAGTGTATTGGTTACTCTTTATAAATTGGTGTGATTAAGTACATTTAGTAATTTCCTCGTCAGAAAATATCGATATGCTCTTATACTAATTACTGAGTACACTTAAGATATATTACCATAAATTACCATATCTCTTAAAAATGCAATATACCTGAGTTATTTCTATAGAAACAGATAAGTTTCATACTGTTAAGGTTCATAATCGATAAAGTTTCCATTTAATTTCTAAATTACTAAGCGAGTAAACTTCGAAAGAGACATCATCCACATTTTCCTAAGTGTTTATTTTAGAAGAAAATCCAAAACTCTTTTCCAAGAAATTAATAATTTTTTATAATGTATCATATTTTGTATGCTGTATTAATACAAGGGCATACGGAATCATGGTCATAGTCGTAGCTAGCTTAGAAGCCTGTTTTCAATGGCGATTAACAGTATTTTTCATTTTATATGTATATCTCTGCGTGTAAATAAACTGGCAGAAGAAATGCTTAACATAACCCTGCATATAAGATAATTGCAACTATTTAAGCACAAATATATATCATTTTACGTAACAATTTTTTTTTCAAAGCTAATGTCACTTTAAATGAAAATTTGTATATATTTTCATTTAGAGTGACATTCTGTGCTGAACACTCCATACAACACTCCTTACAACTATGCTGAACACCCCATATTAACTCCCCATCAAAAAGAAAGAAATCGGTGCATTAGAACTTTAGAACAATAAACGTAATTCGATATCAAACTCCCATTAAAAAGCAATTAAGCATGAATCGTGCGTCATTAAAGGTAAATTAAAATCGCGATAAAATTTTTTCACGCGGGAAAAAATTTTTGAAAAAATTTGGAGACTTAAAAAACATTCCAAAAATTAAAAAAAAACAAAAAATTTTTAGGGGTCCAAACACTAGAGTTTTATGTAACGCTATGTATCAATAACTTGCCCGAGATATCTCGGGCTTGGGGCTTAAGGCAAACTTTCTGTTAGCAAACCCTTTGTTAAATATTTTGAGTATCACCACTGCTTCTAATCATAAAATGGAAGGAAATGTGACTTTCAAGTTACTGTTTCTTTTCACCCTGTAGAAATATAAAGTAAAAAGAAGATCAAATTCTCCATTTTTCTTTTTCATGTACCAAAGTGGTTAAGGGGATATGACTTTTTTTTTTACATATGAGATTATATCGTTGTTGTTAGCATTACATAATCATTCAGATAGTGAGGTGTTTTTATTCACCCCAAATTATGTGACTTAGAAAATTTTAACCTGTAAATTTTGACATTTAAGTCTTACAAAGTTTTAAGGATATATCAGTGAATATTGATATTGATTTTTTTTTTATTTTACTCTAGAACAAAAAGTTACTGTAAATAATTTTGTTGAAGGACAACTTATTATTAACTGTTGTTTAATTAATTTTACTTTTGTCATTTACTGTTTTGCTATTTTTTTAGAGACGATCTAATCAATCCAAATCAAGTAGATTCTCAACTTTTGGAAATATTGCATCCAGAGACATTGGTGACCGAAAAAACAAATGCTGATGACTCCATTAAAAAGATGCTGTCTGAGTCTCCCTTGGTGGCTTCTGGCGATAAGCCAGTTGACAATGTCAAAATCGCAGACAGTCTTCCTTCTGAAACAAAAGTGGTGTCAAATATGAGTAAGGAGATTGCCAAAAGTGAAGAAGTAGCTGCATCAAGTTTAGAATCTATTCCTAAAATAGAAAATTTATCAAAGTAGGTTTCTTCTTAATGAAATAAAAATTATCATATTTATTACATAAAATCTTACAAACTTGACAAATTAGCAGTTGTCAAAATTATCAGCTTTCTAAGTTTTTGTCCTACTCTGGAGATCTTCATCAGGAAACTTGAATACTGAAATATTCATTCAAATCAAATACATTTTTAAAATTTTACTGTAATTAAATGAGCATTCCAGTATTTGAATTTCCTTGTGAAGACCTTAAGAGTAGGGGGAAACCATTAGAAAGGTGATAATTTTGACAACTGCTGGACTAATTTGTCAGATTTTATGTAAGTTATTTAGTTGGAAGTTGAATAATTGTTAATTATCATATTTATATTATAACTAGCTGCAAGGACTCGTTTCGCTGGGTTTTTATTTGTATGTAATATAGTTTTTTTTTATATATAAAAGACTGTTTTTCTAAGTAATCTAGAATCTAACTGCAAGGACCCGCTTTGCTGGGCAAAAAGTAACGATAGTGAAGATTAAGATAATTACATTATAGCCAATCTTACCTGTTTTCACAGAATGCAAGAATTAGGTCCCCCGTTTCCAGACTAATTAGAGAATTTTTACATGAGTCTAAAAATGTTTGATTTCCCGCAAAAATGCAAAAAACCGCCTGTAAATCTTGCATGCCGCTTTATATTAACACTTCCTTTGTTACTCAACACTTCCATTGTTAACACTTCCACTGTTAATACAGTAGAGCGTTGATTTTCCGAATCATTTGGGGACTGGAGTTGTCCGGATAACTGATTTATGTACAAAAAAATAGTTTAATGTATCTGATGTTGAAGTTTTTATCCGTTGTGTGTCGCTTTGCGTCGAATTTTCGTCGATGTTAAGCCTAACAAAGACGATTGTATCATTAAAAATTAATTTTTTATTTTGTACAAACAAAATAAATATATTGAAAAATATAAAAATAATAAAAAAATTATACTTCAGATGTTAATTTAGTATCAAAAACATAAAATATTTGAGTAACCCAAGATATAGCCAAAGATTGAAGTGCCACAGCACTGGCGAAAATTTAAATTTGCCGACTGGAATTCTTTCGGATGATTGACTTTTGGAAAATCGTCGCTCTACTGTACTTCCACTGTTAACACTTCTATTGTTGGCACTTCTATTGTTACACATCTTTGAAGTCAACCACTTTCAACCCCATATCTCTCACACCCTTATAGCACAGAATGCAAGAATTAGGTCTTCTGTTTCCAGACTAATTAGAGAATTTTTACGTCCAGTCAAACGAACTATTTTTAATTTGATCAATTTTCTGGAACGTTTACAATCGTTCTATAATCAAACCAATTCCAATTTAAAACGGTTCGAACATTTTTAAAATTGAAATAGAAAATTTTTGAAGTCAACCACTTTAAACCCCATATCTCCCGCACCCTTATAGCTATCGAGACGCAACCACCATAGTGCACGACTGAAGATTTGGGGCTACTACCACATACAAACACCATTCATGTGCGATGTGTAGTTTTGGCTAAAAAGTGAAATATAGGGACATACACGTCCATTTTTATATATATATATTTTAATATCTCAAACAAAATTTTATTATTGAAAAATTCTTAGTTTTTTTAAAATTATGAAAACTTATATTTTGACTGATGAAAGCTATTTCTGTTTTCAGAAGTTCATTTACAGAACATCTTGATCATGTTGACAATGAATTAAATTGGTTATATAATCAACTCTCTGAAGAACAAATAAACCTTGATCCATCAGATTTGCTCTCAGTAAGAATTTCAAATTGTTTTTTTTTAGAAATTTTTACTGCTATTGTTATAATTATTACTATATTATGAAAATACTAATGATGTGACATTGTATAAAACATACACAGGGTATCCACTTAAACATCTATCTATGGAAAAAAAATGATCTTTCCAGCATTGGTTAGATTAAATTAGGTGTGGACTTAGCAGACACAAATACACCAGATATATTACACAGCCACAACATACACCAATTCCATTGCCATCTGTAACTGACATGACGTGCAAAAGCAAATTTTTCATTATTGGTATTTTTATTGGTATTATATTATGGTATTAGTATTTTTATCATGGTATTGATATCTGTTTATTGGTATTTTTCATGGTATTTTATTGGTATTTTTCAAATTTACTTAAACATAAATTTGGAATATAGGAAATGTAATGACTACATTGTGTCCAAAGCATTTATTATTTTCATACTAATGATTTTGTAACATTCAAATTTGCTATGTTCTAAAAGTGTAATTTGTACAAGTTTTCAAAGAATCATTGGACTGGACATGTTGGAAAGTAAACATTTAAAGTTAATTATTTTGGGAGAACATAAGTTTGCAGTATTATCTAATGACAGAACAACTTCTATTAGGGAAAATATTTAGTCTGTGGATAATAATGGATGAGACCAGCTTAGGGACAATTAATTGGTTCTCTTTAAGTATTGTCTATTTAACTTTTTGTTTTTGTATTACTTTCTCATCTGTTTTGTTTTTTTTTCTACAGCTGTTTGATGCTGATGACCAAGCTGCAGGAAATGCCTGGACTTTGGTAGGTTCCCCTTTCTGTTCTTAAAAATTCTTCACCCTCTTCCTTCCATCCCATTGACTGGGAATACATCCTTAAAATTTGGACTTGGCTTTTTAAAATACAACTAGTTTTAAACAGACAAAATTGTTGCCAGTGCTCATCCAATCAAGGTTGGGTTTTTGGTCACATCTTAAAGTACTTGGAAGAGAATCGTGAAGTAACAGACGAATAAGCATACCGTTAATTTTCCAGTCCTTAACAATTATTAAAAAAAACTGTTTTTATTTCTTTTTAAATACCATTGGCATCTTTAGAAAACTCATCAAAAATACTTTTTCATTGGTTGAAAAAGTGTTTATGGGGGAAATGGGGATAGTATCATTGTGTTTTCCACCAGAAAACCTAGTTGAAATTTGGTTTTGTGCAAAAAACAAAAATGTTTTTTTGAGGTAAAATCATAACATGAATTGCAAACTATTTTTAAAGCATTGATAAAGCAAATAAAAATTAAAGAGTGAAAATGATGTTTTTCTAGGTTTCCATGGAACAAAAAGGATTAAGGTCTGGAAAATTGATAGCTCTGGTTTAACACACAGAAAAATCAGAGACTGGATAAAAAAATTTTCTGTTTGGTCTAGGGATATTCTTTACACATTTACAGGGTCGGGGTGTTTTTGTCACGATCAAACAGAGTGCCTCAGCACCAGTAGTGACACTAATGAGGCCAATGATTGAAGCGGTGTTAGCGTCACCACACAGTTGCTGGCACTTTCACACTTCAGGAATAAATATCAAAAAGGTAAAGTTGGCCTATTGGCATTAATTATGGTTATTTCACCAAACAGGCAAATTTTATGGGCATCAGATCATGTTCCTTTCTTCACTACCTAAAACAGAAAGTTTATATGTTTTAGAGTTAGTTAAAACCCTTCCATTTCCAACAAAAGATGAACAAAACAGAGTAAAGATATTGGCTGCTTAATCTCCCATGGCTATCCACCATTGAACCAAAGAGGAAGAAGGATGCATCAATCTTGTCGTTCATCTCATATCTGTAGAAGAAATGTTGGTATTTTTCCCCATCGGTCTTTAAAGCTTAGATGGGAAGCCTCACTTCTGGAAGACCATCCACCAGTAACTGCCGTGCCATTACCAATTATTTTATGGCTCAGTTTATTCTCCCCTTGACCATTATTCATTAATGAGTTTCAGGACCCACATGTAAGGATGATGATTGGTGTTGTGGACCATTTCTACTTACAGTCTGCATCCATGTCTCAGATGCCAGTCGTCCTCTTACTTTTGCTGTTTATGGCTTGCAGTCTTCAGACTTTTATCTTTATTGCCATCTAACATTGTCTTTTCTTTTGGTCTGTAGGATCGTCTGCCCGAATACCAGTCTGGAGACATTCCAACAGGTACGTATCCTGAGTACCACAATTTGGGGTTATATTAAGGAGGTGTATTTGACGATTTCAGGCAGCCAACCCACTTCTTGCCCTTCATTGGAAGCAGAACTGTGGGAAGATGATTTTGTTCCAGAGGTGCTGTAGCTGATCCTGGATACTGGTGCTTTTTTCTAACATCACACTGCTTTTCCCGGATTTTTCTCCACCAAGAAGACTAGACTATTGTCTGTGACAGTAGGAAGAGACATTTCCACACCACTCTTACTGATAGATGATATCAATTGTCAATAAAAAACCTTTTTATTTTATTAATTTTGTTTGTTCCTTATTCTGATTGCCTATATCCCCCATTCTCCCAGGGAATTTCCCCTTCCATAAGATCTGGAGCTCTAGTTATTTTTCACCTTTTTCCTTTAGCTTTCTACTGTTTTCCCGACCTTCTCAGGTTTGGGTTTCTGTCGGAAAGGATGCACCCTGGAAAAACAGGTGGGAGGCTCAACCAAAATTGTTTTTGCCACACCAGAAGGCTGAATGGGATACGTCAGTCTGCATTCAGGAACCGATCCGGATCATCTGCTTCCAGAGAATTTTCCACTGGAAGGTTCATCCCTTGCCACCCAACGCACAGTGGGAGCAAATAAGGCTCTCCCACCAGGGAAGCTTTCGACCTGTAGGATCAAATAAACAATGTAAACATTGTTTATTTGGGGCTTTGGATCTATTTTTCCAGAAAAACGAGAAATGGGTTCTTTCTTACTTTTTGCCCTTCCAAGTACTAGAAAAACTGCCCAGAAATAACCCGTGTAGTACATTTATACATCAATTTGCGTTTTTCATGAACTATAGAAGGCGCTGCATTTTTACAAAATGGCTACTTTATCTGGGTCGCTTGTAACTAGTAATGTAAACATAATCATATATTACTGTCCAAATCAAAAATTAAATATTTTCAGCAAGATTACCAGTATGAAAATAAATAACAACAAAAGCAAAATACTGAACATCTATGGCGACATTGACTGAAATAATATGCATTATAAGATGGTCACCAACATCAACATTCTTAGTGTCTAGTATGGGAAGGATAGTAACAAGAAAAACATGGAAAATATGACAAATAAGATGAAAGAAGCAATTTCAACTTGGGAAAATACTTGGCTAAATCTACCAGAAAGAACTATCCACGCAAACTATAATTGCCAAGATCATATACAGCCTATATGCCACCGATCTCAACAAAAAAGACCAAAGAACAATAGACAAAATAATTTTTAAATATACCACGATGGCAAAGCCACTTTGAGTCACTAAAAAGAAACATTATGAAAAACAAATTAAATCAAGGCAGATGGAAAGTTTGGGATGTCAAAAGTCTGGAATGCTCCCTACAGGTTGCCAACATGGTTAACTCTATATTAATCAAAAGCATCCTCTATACGACATCACTTTTTTATATCATTGGTCCAATAATTAAGCCAATCAACAATACTCAAGAAAATAGACCCTTACTGATCGACAGTACAACTAAATACAAGACCTGGAGGAAAGTCATTACCAACCTTATTAACAATAATCAGATCCAGAACAAGTCAAGCCTTCTTTAAATTAATATGTAATATCATCCACCAACAATGGCCAAATAGTAATCTTAGTGACACCTCTATTAAATGGGAAGACACCTGGTCAAATATATCGAACCTACCCACAGAGATCTTGGAGAATACTAAATAACATCATTATGTCTAAAGATTACCTTCGCACCTATCAACAAATGAGGAGCGCCAATTGTCCTCGCTGTGGTAAAATTGAAAACATTTTCCACATCTACGAATGCCCAATTGCTACTCAAGTTTGGAGCTGGCTGAACAAAATTTTCAATACCAACATCACATGGCACTGTATAAAGTACCACTACAAGTTCCCTGTCAAAAATCAGAACAAATACTGTATCAACTGGATGATTGCTCTCACCAAGAGATTCCTTTGGAAGGCAAGGTGTGCTTTCCTATTCGACAACAAAAAGTGGTTGTCAGCAAAATACGTGATAAAGCTTCCCTTAAAATCTCTGCAGACCATAATTTCTTCACTGAGAAGGACTTCAATACTCTCTACATGGGCACAATGAACATCATTTTTAAAAGTCTGAACAACAAGTATGTTTTAAATCAGGGCTTCTTAAACTTTTTTTTATTTGCGACCCCATTTATGATTGTGATTTTTTTCGCGACCCAAAAATATAAAATAAAGATATATACAAATTTGCAAAAACAATAATGGTGTGCTACCACAGTTCACTCTTGTGTTACAATGGAACAGAGACAACTAAATACACTGAAAAGCGACAACAACACTATACTAGTTCACACTACAATCAGGGTTGCTGAATCATTGTCTCGCTGCACAAGAAATGACACAAACCGCAACTCACGAAACCTATGACACAAAGCATGCCTCACTTTCAAACTCATTTTCAAACTCTCACAAATTATTTTCAATATTTTGCATTAAAATCTCGCGACCCCAAGATTTCGCTAAGTGACCCCAAATGGGGTCGCGACCCATAATTTAAGAAGCCCTGTTTTAAATGATAAATGGCAGTAATTGCTCTCTCACGTTGTTCACCGACGAACTTTTAACACTATGTCAACATCTCAAATGTATTTTACAAGTCTGTGATTTATCCATGTATCATTGTCTCCATGTCCTGTACTATCTTTCTACAGGTTATAACTATGTTAATTAAAAGGATGCTACAACCACCGCCAAATAAATTTTAACAGTTTCTCTGTCCTATGTGATGTAATAACGATGTGATATTTATATAATATTTGTGCGATGTATAACTCAACTATCTGTTTTACCTGTGCAAATAAATTAATGTATTAATTTTCTATATATGGCAAATACCCTCCCTATTTGTACATATTCACTATGTAAATAACTTAGGGTATTTTGTCTACTCCTGTGTACAATGCTTTTTTTTTCTGCTTCAGAATATATCATCTTTATTACATATATTTGGGAAAATTTAAAAAATAGCTAAATTTTATCGTCGTCATTATTTTTATTTTTAGATGACATGAGCATCATGTGTTGTTGCAACTTGTAATAATAGACGGCAGGATGGCCGAGCGTTCAAGGTGGCATCCTACGCTCTGGGGGACCCGAGATCGAATCCGGACGGGTCAAGAAATCCCCAGGAATTCGGGGGGGTGGTCTGTTCGGATATGTCGGGCCCCACCCCTCATCACCCGGCCGCCCCATCGTGGGCTCGGCCGAACCCATTATGAGCCTGCTATAAGAGGCCCTCCTAGTGCCCACAGGGTGGAAGAGTAAAAAAAAAAACTTGTAATAACAGCTATCATAACACAAAGTTATTAAGCAGGAAAGTTGGGGTTGTATTCTGGTCATCGTCTCTCACAAGCGACCGGCTTGTGAGAGATGGTGACCAGAATATGGCTCTTGGTTATTTTAGATTTCCTAAAGATCCAATAATAAGAAGAAAATGGATTCATAATTGTAAAAGAAAAGATAAATTCAATCCCGATTCTTGTCATGTTCGCTCTGATCATTTCACAGAAAATGGTTTTGAGAGAAATTTAAAAGCCGAGTTATTAGGTTTATTGGCAAAACCTAAAGAAAACTTTACTACCGACAGTAAATTTAGGAAATATAGAAAATGAAAATATTAATCAGTAGAATCAAAGAAAGAATCATTTATTACAAAGAAATAGAAAAAAAACTAAGGAAAATTTTTAGATGTAAATAAACCAGAAGAATCTCTTAAATATAATGATTGTAAAACTTTAGATGATCTTAATTTTAAATAAAACATAAAAATTCTATTTTATGAACTGAAATAACAATAGAAAGTTTAAAAAGTTTGTACCTGATTTTTTTTTCGTTTTTATGTAATTTTTAATTTGTATATATATATTGATATTAAAAATCTATACTAATATAAAGTTTGGATGTAGGAGGTAATTTCCGAAACTACTCATCCGATTTCAAAAATTCTTTCACCAATATTTAGAATGGACCTTCAGGGTGGACATAGGCTGTATATTATTCCGTTAAACATTCATATAAATTAAAAGATATCATCTAGGTAAGCGTTATATTTTTGTTGTCAGCGGGTGACAAGGGGCAAAACGCGTACAGTCGACCCCCCTATAAGATAGAGATACGTTCCATTCTCTAGGAATCCGCTTTCTTACGAATCCTTCCAATCACAACCCGACACGTGTCAAGTTTACGGACTACGGCTGTTTGAAAGATTTTCTTCCATAAAATTAATCGATTCTAGACTAATCCGACTCAACATTTCCAAAATACGTATATATTTTTTGGGAATAATCCGTATAAACTACGCTATAAACAAAAAATTGTAGGATTACTTACCGAGTGTCACCATTCGACATTGCCATTGCTCAACATTGTTTTCGTCGCGGAACAGCTCAGCAAAGAGCGGCCGATTTCTAACAACTTATTTTTCTGTGAAAACTTCGTAGAACTTCGGAGACATCATTAATATAAATAATTTTAATCGCCGTTGAATAAGAAATGTTTCTTTCACAAGAAATGTATAAAATTACAGTACTGTATTAGACTTACGGTACCTAATTTACATACTGACAGACGATAGTTAGCGTAAAAATCTCCGTAGCGTGGCGCCACGCTAGACGGCGGAAATTATATATTTAATTATAACAAAGTTACAATAAGTTAATATATAATTATATATACAGTACCTAATTTATATATAATTAATATATAATTATATGTACAGTACCTAATTTATATATAATTTATATAATACTGTCCAGACGATAGAAATCTCTCCGTAGCGTGGCGCTACGGACGGCGGGAAAGTAGTTCGGCTTCCCGATGACGTTTGAGGTGTTTATAGGGAACTTTTACTATTTTTTACGGATACCGGTAGCAATTTTTTCGTAGTTTTATAGGAATCGTAACTATAGGGACCGTAATTATAGGGGGGTCGACTGTACATATACGAGATAGGTAACCGCGCGGCGCAGTCTCGTGGTCGGCGAGATACACAGTGCACGTGTCCGAACTTTTATGTTTATAACAGAAAATTGTTCTTTTGACAAAGTTATTTTTGTATATACAGTATTTATGAGTGAATAATATCGTTTTCGGTACATGAGTATTAAAAATTAAAAAATAGACCAATATAATTTTTGGTTTTAAAAAAGAAGTCGTTTTACGATATAAATTAAATTAATTCATTTATATATAAATCACCTACGTAGAGTTTACCAAAATTAATCTTTTAAGAAACTATTGCTGTTATAATATAAAATTGATAAAATCGATTTCATTTACAAAGTGGAAAACGTATTTTAATTTCAACTTTACACGTAGAAATTGCGAAGATTTGCTCAATATTCCGGATTTTTCTTATTTACAATCCATTTTTATTTATATTTAATTAAGTAAGAATCGTAATTAATGAAATATTAGCTTGTAATTAAAGCTACGAGCCTCTGATCGGTAATGTTTTTACCATAAGGACATAGTAAGATGTTTCGTTTTCGACTATGAGTGACGTCAAATAAGCAACCAATGAGAAGCGTTTCTTCTCTATGAGTCAACCTTATAATTTAAAACCTTGAGTTATGCTGCCATCTCGTATCAGGTCGTAGATTAACTGGTCTCGACTAATAGTTCAAACTTAACTAGAGACAATATTTGCCGCTAGTTGGCGCCACTGTTAGCAGGAGAGCGTTGTTCTTGCTAGGTACCGTGTTTCCCCGAAAATAAGACATCCGCAGAAAATAAGACCTAGCACAGGTTTTGCTGAATTGCGAAATATAAGACCTCCCCCTGAAAGTAAGACCTAGCGAAGTTTTTTTTTAGTCGTAACGGTCATGAACAGATGGTTGAAAGTGGCCGTTGACTTTTTGAAAGTACAGCCACTGATTGGTCAACAAACAATTACGCCACACGGCACGATTTGCATAAGACTATGGCTTGAGAATCACAGATTTGCATAACGTTATGGCTGGTGATGGCTAATTGGTCGGCCGGGAATCACGCCACATGACATTTGCATAGTGCTACGGTTCAGTAAGCACTAATTGGTCATCGAGTCCGATGTTGACGCTATAAAAAGGCGACCGTTGGACACATCGGATATACGTCACTCTCGTCTAAGTTCGATTTAGGAATTTTTTTGTTCAATAATAAATGTGAATTCTTCTTCTTGGAAAAAATAAGACATTCCCTGAAAATAAGACCTAGCGCATTTTTCAGAGCAAAAATTAATATAAGACACTGTCTTATTTTCGGGGAAACACGGTATATACTGAAGTCATTGATTTTGACTTATAATAATTGTTTGTTTAGCTACATAAAAATGTCAACGTGCTTTGTGCCAGGATGCAATGCAGGATATAAGTCATCGAACGAGAAGAGACATTTATTCCGTGTTCCTACGATAAGATTGAGGAGTGGATGCGATGCATTCCACGAGACGACAAGATGCTAACAAATAAATGTTACGTTTGTGACGTACATTTTGCGAGTAGATTTATTTTAAAAACCTTCTCCCATGTTATAAATGGAGAGAAAGCAGAAATTCCACGAGATCGCTGGGCATTAACGTCGGACGCATATCCATCAAACTTCCCTAATTAGTAAGTCTACCTCAAAAACGATCAACGCGATGTCTCATAAGAAATGAAGAACCATCTAGGAAGGGATCACGAAAAGACAATACCAAAGGTAAATATAAATATTTATGTAATCTTAATCCTCAGTGAGTCATGTAATTTTTTGCCCTTGCCTGAGTCGCAGTGCGTCTCTCGGACCCTGTGTTTTAATATAAAATTAAATTTTATCTATCTATCTATTTTATCTATATTTAAGGAACATTTTATATTTAAAAATTAAGTAAAGATTGAGCTGGGTTTGTGAGATCCACTGTGATTCACTGAGGGTTATCTCTCTGTGGCCCATCTTTCCTTATAAATACTTTAAGATTAATTGTCTGATATTTTTTTTT